TGCTTATACACTGGCCCTCAAGAAATCATAAAAGTAGAAAATTTGGCATAATCAGAAAAAAAGGTAAAGCCACACGATCGAGAAACAAACATCGATCAATCGAAACTAAGGCGTTTGAGAGTTGAAGAGTAACTTGAGTCACACGGCATTGTAAGAGAAAAAAAAAAAAAAAAACCAAGCAGACCACGGCGTAATTGGAGTGCTTTTTGCGCTGGCAGTTGATTTTTTGCTCAAAAGGCGTGGAAAATCATTCGACGAGAGAGAAGAGGCTGGGGGTAAAAGCCTCGGAGGAGAAGAACATACCTACCCGCATAAAAGTGCGGCCGCGAGACTACGCGAACGATTAGTATGGGACAGGGTTCTGCGGCCGGGGCCAACAGACCGCAGTCCAAAGAGACGCGAAACCCGAGAGCTGCAGCGTCTCCGTTTTCCGGCATCGCCGTGGTCTAGTCATCAATGTTTGTATACGATGATCGCGGAGGCGCGGGAGTACAGCAGCAGAGAGAAAAATACATATATATTTATATAGTCCTGTATAAGGTAAGTAGGAGGTACGTATAACAAAGAAAGAGAGGGTAAATGAAAGAGAGAGAGAGAGAGAGAGCAAGCGCACACCGCCCAGCGGAGGTGGTGGTGTGTGTATATTATGTACATGGAGCCCGAGAGTGTGCGTAGCGCAAGAGAGAAAGGGAGAGAGAGAGTGCGGTCCTTTTGAAGAGAGCGCGGCCCCTTTGTCGGTTCTCGCGGCGCCGCGCGCGATTTGCAACTAAAATCGCCTCCCTCTGTGATTTGCTGCGAATTTATTAAAATGACGCGCGAGCCGAGCCGGTGCACACACGCACGCCCGAGCGTTATTGTGCATTATACACACGTCGGCATCGACACCTCCGACTGTCTCTCCGTTTCTTCCTCTTCCCCCCCCCCTTTTTTTTTACTCCCCTGCTTCTCTCCGCCGTTTATAATCCAACACCCGAATCCACCTCCTTTGCCAATTTCGATGAGAATTATGGGACCCTCGCAACTCGATGTTTGGTCGCTTCTCTCCGCGACTACGTAACTTGTTGCCTTTAACACCCTTTCCCCCTTCCTCTGACCACCAGAGTCGATTTACCGCGCTCGTTCCCGTCTCTCTATATTTCTCCGCGATTTTTGTATATAATATACCAATCCCGTGTATCGTAATGCGCGTGCAAGCCGCATAAATTTTCCTCCAACAGAGACACGCGATTCACACGGCCAGCAAAATCTTGATCGCGAGGTTGGAGTGTATTCTCTAAGTGGGTATCAACAGATCTGGCGAGGGGCACCCAAGCCACGGGACCTTCTTTCAAGCAAAAGCAGAGTTATTTTCAATTTTTTTGTTACTGTTTATGTTCATTCGGCAAGTGCTTATACGCGATGCTAGATTACTAAACAAGTCTTTTTACTGTATTCGATCCGTCGCATCGATACATTTTTTTTTGTATTTTTTTTTTTTTTGTATTTGTTTCTCAACTTTTAACAATTTTTATTAAAATGTATCATGACGATCGGATGTGGCGCGACAAAATCTTGCCATTGAGCGTTTTTTTCCAAGCCGATCGACCCGCCCGTCCTTCTGTTGCCAACGTTGTACCACCTATATAGGCAGGTAAATACTCTCGTAAGAAGACGATGCAAGGGAGCGAAACGGAGATCACGGATCATCATCATCATCATCATCATCACGAGCCTCGAATATAATACAGTCGTCAGAATCCGAGACAGTGACAGAAATTTGAATAATACGCTACGCACAGGTGTGAGCGGGAGGGGGGAGGAGTGAGCGTCCGATGCGTATACGCGTAGGAGAGGAGAGAAAACGCGGACAGGCCGAAGGAGAAAAGGAAAAGGAGGAGGGAGGTCGTGGAAGGAAGAAGACGACGAAGGAGAGCAACAAACGGCAGAGAGGGAGGGAGACCACCCCGTGGCTCGTCGGCTCGTTTGATCTTCTCCCACCCCTTTCGGGAGGCATTTTTTGTTCTTCCCTCTCCTCGCGGTCTCTTTTCACGGCAGCGCTCCTCCGTCCCTCTATATACGTCTGGTTCACGGCTAACTGGCTGGCAGGAGAGAACTCGTACCCACCTAGAGCAGCAGGTCTATACACACACACACACGGAGCGTCAGAATCACACCTTGGTCGATTAGCCGCTCTGATCTTCAGCTCTAATGGCACAGCTGAAAGCGCAACAGGGAGCTACTACTGGTGCTCTTGTGCCCCGTTTTCTCGGTATACCTACCTCGCTCCCTCCTCGTGCACCATTCAGGGGCTAATTGCCACAGAAACACCGGCCACCCGACGATGTCCTGATTTATCGGGATGTATATATATGTATACGTCACGTGCTCACCTCATGGAATTCGGAAGGTCCTTCACCGCGTGCCGGCTCTCATTTTCGGCAGGTTGTCCGAGGAAACCGCGGCTCGATCGTCATCTACGATATTACAGAGAGACCGGCAACGGCAGCCCTGTATACACGATAAATATATAATAACGCGCGTGCTCGTGTGCGTGAGTCTATGCTGCAGAGAGAGAGAGAGCAGCAGGGCTGGGCGTAAGTTTCAAGAGAGGCTACTTAATTATCTCCGAGCCTCTAATCTGACTCGAGCCGACGCGCGCGCGCGCTATATGCCTCTCGATAGCGCTCACACAAGTATATTACTACACTTTATAGACACACGCGTTATGTAGCTCACGTACCGATAGGTATTTCTCCTGTATGGCTAGGATTTTTCGCGAGCCCCATGTGCCAAGGAATAGTCGTGGCACCACGCGACACCTCGTGGCGGCCTCGGCCCAGCCTCTGGATCATCATCGGCAGCCCTGCAGAAGAGTACCTATACGCGAAAGAGAGGGAGAGCAAAGGATAAGTCGAGAGCGAGAGTGTCTAGAGGGAGCCGAGCTCTGTAATCACACCGCGCCGCGCTCCTTCTCCTCCTTCGCGGCTCTCGTCTGTTGTCCGTGTGTGCGGGAAACGCCGAGCATCACCTTCGTTAGCGCCTCGCTATATATATGTATATCCACGTAAAAGTACTGCCACCGGCGACACACTCTCGTATATATTACGCGCTCGACAACGACCGAGCCGTCAGCGACGAATTGCACGCGGGCTTTCCAATTATCATTTCCCCGGCAATTTCGCAAAACCGAGCGGTATATGATACGTTGACACGTAATTTCGATCAAACCAGGGTGATATTGTAATCCCGGGGGTGTGCGGCCGAACGGAGGAGAAAAACGTCAGAGAGGGCCAACCAATTAGCGTGACGTATTTGGTAGGGAGATTTAATAGCGCGGGCGTCGGTTCGATATTTATGTAATAATGATAATAGCAACGGGAGAGAAAGGGATGAGGCCCCGCCGAGCCTTTCCGCGTATTCGAGGAATTCCGAAGGAGGAGGGAGGGAAAAGGTGAGAAAAAGAATGATGGGAAAAAGAGAGGAGGGCATCAAAGGCTTATTAACGAGGGCCGCTGATGAGCCGAGCAGTCAGGCGGCCCCCCCCCCCCTCTTCCCTCTCGTCTAATTGTCTATGCGGCAAAAACACGTTTCTCGCGTGCAGCGGATCGGAATTACGGATACCTTTTCGGCCCGAGCGAGTCGCGAGCCTCGCCCAAATGAGCCCGGCAGGGGCGTGTCGCGCGTTATTATTGCACGTTTTTAAGCCCACGCTCTCTCGTGATATTTCTCCCGTGTTCGCGGAAACAACTCCCCTTTCTTTCCTTCGCGTTACACCAAGCTCAATTAGCGTATGATGGTTACACGTACAGAGGTATATACGTGTGGTATTGTCAGCGCCGATTGCTGGTATTGCTCGAGCACGCGCCGAATCAGCGGGTACAGCCCGGGAGTGGGGAAATTGAATATCGCGATATAGATCGATCGTTACAACGAGTCTTGCAATCGGCGGACACATGTATATATGTATAATGCACGGATCGACGCTTGATATATTGGACGCACGTATACTTACGGGGCAAGAGGGGAGAGGGAGATTGCCGCTGCTCATCATCGCCATTACGGATATATATATATTCTTTATTTGAATGCAGCGGCGGCGGGCCTGAATTACAGGGCGGTGCACCCGGCTACCTTGCTTGCCGCCGCCTCCCGTCGTGCCCCTATATAGATAGATGCCTCGGGCAGGGACCCTCCGATGATGATACTCCGATCGGGGGATACGGTTGTTTCTCCGCGGATTCCCCGATGGGTTCATTCGTTCCTCGTCCGATAAATTAGTGGAGCAACGCGGAAACTCTGTCGTCCCGGGGTGATTATTATTCCGCCAATGGGACTTGAAAGGATGACGCGGTGTTATTTATGTACTGTCCGGGAGGGGCGGAAAGGTGTCGAAAGGGAAGCCTCGAGATTGGCAGTGCGATGTTATGACAAATACCAGACGCTAGCTGCAACTGCCGGGCTTTGCTGCAAACTCGTTGGTTCAAGGGGGGGGGGAGGGGTGACGTATAATGGCCAAAACTTAATAAATTATCCGGGGGAGGTGGGGGGGCAGAGCTTCAAAAAGCTTCTCGGAACTGCTCGGCTATTTTTGGCGATAATAATTTCTTTTCATCTCTCGCTCGTCGCTTCTCTGCGTCCACGTTGCAGTTGGACGGTATACACGAGCGGCGGTGCTGGCCAAAAGAGCGCATTGTGCACGGCAAAGAGGTGCGCGAAACCCTTTAAACCTTTGTCATTGGCCCGCGACCGCAGACCAAAGCGCCGAGTCAGCTCCCAACTTGCCGTTTTGTAGCTGCGCGATGATGCGAGCAATCGAAGCAATCCAGCCGTCTACCGCGTTTTGTTTTATTACCTCCTCTCGAACCTGGCAAAAATTATTATTTCACTGTGAATAAAGATGAAAACAAGTTTTTTTTTTCATGATTTCGTTTAATATGTTCCCTTTTTTATTTATAGGATTACTATACACATTCTACTGTTTTTTTTTCTTTTTCTCTTTTTTTTTTTGTTTGTTTGTTTGTTTATAAGTCCGGAGGAGGGACACACGGGCGCGTGTCCGCGGATGCGCATTTCGATTTGATGATGACACTAATAATGTACAATAGTTTCTTGTTTCTTTTGTCTTTTTCCTCGTATAATACTCATATAGAAAATCGTAAAGCTCCCTACTAAACGTGTATGTATGTATAATTAAATAATAATCATATATTGCAGTGCCCGCGTAATATCATCGTACATATTATCACCGAGAGGATGCATATTGTACATGTCTTTCTTTTCTCTTTGTTCCGCCGTTTCATCAAGTATTTATTCGATCGCGACATATACACATACACATATATATATATATCATAGGTCTTTATAGGTACATAATAACGTCATTTTTCAGCAGTTACGCCGTGGTCTATGAAATAATACAACCTAACACGAGACGCACAGAGGATATACAATCATAATTATCGACTGCACTCGGGCACTATAGTATAATATTTTAACGGACGTCCATTTTTGGTTTGTATTTACATGTTTTTCTATTTACACACAAGCCTAACGAAAAACAGCCAGTTTGGTTGTAGTCGTCTCGTTTCGTCTCCTTGCCCCAACTAAAGAGCCAACGCAATAATTTATAACTATTTTTCCGACTCGACAAACAGACATTGTATAATTACAGTATGATACAGTTCGTACGACCGGGTATACCGAATGACGACGGCAAAGCTAGTGGAATTGCCGCCCATCCCCGGCGATTAATCTACGAGAAACGAAACGACAAACAGGTAATACTATGAAGAAACCATATTTACAAAAAACACACACACGCGCGCGTGCAATAACCGTCACTTATCACTTATGCACTTTGAAAAATCCACGATTGGCTTAGGGCTTGTCGTCGATGGAGGCGGGCAGTGGCCTCTTTTTGAGGATCCCGAGGTCCTGCACGTTCTCGAGGAAGGTCTTGTGGTGCTGGGCGACGAGCAGCGGGTTGACCGACTGCACGTCCTTTTTGAGCTCCTCCATGTCGCGCTTGAGCTTCGCCCGCCTGTTCTGGAACCACGTGATCACCTGGGCGTTGCTCAAGCCCAGCTGGCTGGCGATCTCGTCCCGGTCGGCCGGCGACAGGTACTTTTGGTACAGGAAACGCTTCTCCAGCTCGAATATCTGCTGATTCGTGAAGGCCGTCCTACTCTTCCGCTTCTTCTTCGGCTGCTGCCTATTGTTGAACAAGTTCAAGTGGTTCGCTTGCTCTGAAAGTTCAAACATCCATTTATTTATTTATTTATTTATTTATTTATTTATTTATTTATTTATTGTTGTCGCATCAACCTTGTTTCCATAGAGGGCCTCTCGCAAGTGACGCTACACATATAGGTATATTCTCGAGACGATTGGAACGAAACGAAAAAGAGAGACGGGGGGAGGGGGGGGGAAAGGGAGAAAGTTGAGGCAGGTAGAGGAGAGAAAGGGTGGAAGCGAGGAAAAAAATAAATAAATAAAAGGAAGGAGGGGGAGCCGAAGAAGCGGTAAGCTTTTGTGTATGCAAAGGCGCGCGCCACAAATCAGGCGCATCTCAAAACTTCGGGGAAGAAAGAAAGAGTATGAGTATGTGTATATATATATATACCCCATAAAAGTCGTATTACACATTCGTTCCAGGCCATCTCGGGCCGATTGGCCGCGGCCCTTCTTCCCCCTTCGCGTGTGAAAAGCAACGCCAGCAGCCTATAGGTAGATATACATATACGTATGATATACATGGTTAGCCCCTCGTAGTCGCAAAACAAGACAGAACAACACATTTAGTGCTGCCGATCGGGTCGAAAGAAAAGGTTTTTCGAAATCGCACTCGAACGGCGGCCGAATGGACAGCTAGTATTAAATTTATTAGCGTTATTAAGGGGGAAGGGAAGAGCTCAAAAAGCACGTCATGTATGCGTGTACGCGGTAATTGGCTCGAAATCGTAATCCCGACGGCAGCCGCGCACGCACGTGTGTATAAGGCCACAGAGGCCCCGGTCGTCGTCGGATGTGGATCAAAGGGGCCCGCCATTGGTCACACCTGCGCAATAACCCATACTGTATACATATACACTATAAAACGGTCTGGCGCAAGACTATACGTGTACATACATATACGTATACACCGACACCACGGGCAATCGATCGCTTCTCGCTCCGTTCGGGAAGTAGGCATTTATATATATATATACTAATATAGCAGCGAGTCCACTTTCGACTCGTTTGTGTGAGTTGTCAGCGCCAGGTGTAATAAACGCGCGGCTCGTGTGTTTTTAGCGGATCGCGAAAACCACGAGCCGGTCATTGTTTTCGCGCCTCGGCCGGAGGAGCAAGGATATTGCCGGAGGGGGGGGGGGGGCGACGGTAGATGAGAACGAGCGGTCGTGTCGATAGAAGAAAACGGAAGAGGAGGCGACCATTTTGGCGATGAGGGTCGCGAGTACACCTACAGAAGGCAGTAGCGCGATCGAGAGCGGGCGGACGAACAAACGAAGGAGGCGGTAAACTGTACAGAGAGAGAGAGAGAGATGGGATAAGAGAACGGGCGAAAGAGGCGCTGAGATATTAGTTTCTGCGGTCGAGTCTCCGCGGAGATTTAATTCGTTTGATGTTCACGGACTCGCCGCTGCCTTTTCTTTCTTTTCCCTCCGAGGCAGCGTTCAAAGGCCAACTCTTTTGCACTGCAGCTCTGTTCCACTTCCTCTTTATTACATCCACTCGGCTCCTTTTATGTAATATACTCCTCCGTCTCTACATGTCTCTACTGTGCAGTATAGGTACCTATAACCATTACGTTATTTATCGCTAAACCAAGTTTGCTTACATATATAATATATTTATATATTCACGAGGTACAACAAAAGAGTACAGGTTGGGACGAGTGGTGCTGTTTAATCGGCTCTCGTTCGCCGGGCACTGTGTACTATATATTGTAAGCACCCCTGGAGAAAGTGACCGGCGCTCAGAGTATAATCGGAGACGACGAAAGTCGATCGGAGTGATTTGTCCGGGCCACGACATACCACAAGAGAGCAGCGGGCACGTGTCGGAGGGTAGGGGAGCATTCATGCGACGTTCCCCGAAATAGGCGCGTCGTCGATTAGGTGCTCGGTGCACTCCGGTGGGCCCGTGCGGCCGAGATTTATCGCCTGACTTTGGAGGTACAGCCCCCGCGGAGTTGGCTGCCACGCCGGCAAAAACAGATCGAGGGAGCACGGGCCCGCGCGCGTGCCAGCCACCGGACACGAGCCGCTTCCTCCGGGATGGATATATACAAAGTTGGCGCTTCCTCCTCTTACCGATCGGTCCTCTCGGTTATTACGTGCTTTTGCATCTGGAGCCCCAAAGGGAAAACACCCAACGGAGTTCCCGGAACGCGTCTTGGTCGTGCAGGGTGATGCATATGAATGAGCGTGCAATTGATATCGACACCTCTACGGGGAAACAACCCCCATCTTAGACGTGTGGTTTTTCTTTTTCTTTTTTTTTATTTAACAATTTTCATGTCCGAGAAAAGAGGAATTTTATGATGAAAAAAAAGCTCCAAAGTGCTTGAATATTGTATCGTTGAAGCAAACACCTCAATTAGAAGAAAAGTGTGAAAGAGACGCACAGAGGCGAACCCCTAAAGTTTTAAATTTATGAAACGCGAGCGAGGGTGAGGAAAAGTAAATTTTTCTGGAAACTCGAGGAAATTGATTTTCCGGAGCGCTCCGACACCCCAGAGGGTTTTATATATACATATACATACATGCACACGCGTGAGTGTTCCTACGAAGCGTCATTGGAAGGGAGGAGGGGCCGCTGTTCGGGATTCATCTTCATTAGTAGGCCGTCCCACGGTGTTTGCCATATATAGGTATACATATGTGTGTATACGCACGCAGATAGCAATGTATAGCGAAGAAGGAGAAGAATAAGGGAACCAGCGATTATTTCCACCTGGTGATTTCGGAGGCGCTGAGCCGCCGGCGGACGAGCATTTCTCGCACCGGCATTACACCGATACCCATCGATAAAGATGATAGCTTGTTCGGCGTGCCATGCGGCGGTGGCTCGTGCACGGGTGGTCCGAAAGCCGATTTTCCAAATACCCGACCTACACACACACACACACGTAATGTATATACATTATACATAGTCGGGAGAAACAGTTGGCCAGCGCTCGGTATATGCATGCCCACCTACTAATCGCTTCACGCCAAGTTTTTCAGCCCTTACCTAATAATTATTGACTACGAAAATTTTATCACTCTCCCCTCCCACCTAGCTCCTCTCGTACTGTTATTAATGATTCGTCGAACTACTTGTATTGGGCTATACCATAAATACAGGGCAAGGATATTAAATTTACTCGCGCTCTGTAACTGTGTTTCCTTTCGTACGTTTTTCGGCCCGCGTGAATAGCGGCCACGCATCACTTATCATCAAGCTGTTGAGATGAAAAATCGTTCCCACTCGAAACATGTTAATCTGCGGAGGAATTGGAAAAGGGAGTGAGCCTAAAACGACAACACAACGTACAATGCAGATGCAGAGCATTCGAAGTAGGTATACACGCCGTTGCAATAATTAGTACAAGGGAGGGAAGGAAAAATAAATAAATAATAAAACAAAAAAAGGCCCAAGAAGAAGAGGAGGAGGAGGAAGAAAGGGGAGAGGGTGAATTTATCTATTTGCACCCGCTCGCAACCACACGTATACTAAATGTGCCGGTTTGTTAGTGGAGAGAGAGAGAGAGAGGGTCCAAGTCGAGCTTAGCTGAGCAGGCGGCACTAAGGGCCGTTTAGTATGCGCGGGCCTGTGATCCTATTAACTGAGACCTCTTTCCCCGAATATTTTTTCTCGATCTTATTTTCACCTCGGCGCGTATAGCAGCCGTATTACAAACCCTCGCGTATATATATATATACGTATACATCAGTACCGCCGTACACCGAACCGCGGCAACTAACCGGCAAGAGGAGAGAGCAACCCTTCTATTTTAGGCCACTGCCGCCGAATCGCTCGCTCCTTATACCTATGTAGTATACACGCGTCGGCTCTTTCTCTCTCTCTCTCTCTCAGTTGCTCGTGTACCATCATCATCCATCTCGTCCCCGTCTTATTCCTCGTAGGTATGTATAGGTAGGTAGAGTAGCGTCAGCATCCATGCAACAACTAGCTTATGTATGGCCACGTGGCGCTGATTAGTGCAATTACCGAAACAAGCTCAACGCTCTTCTTTCTTCCATCGCACATCATACAAGCCTTATACAAGCCTCGTTTCTTCCTCGTCGTCTTTTTTCCCCCTTCGGGCCTAGACTTTCGCTGTAGTAGCTCGAGTTTCCGAGTAACGCGAATATAGTTACTACCCGTCGTGGTATACATAATACAACGATTCACCCCTTGCCTGCCCGCGGCAACCACACGGAGACAAGTTTATTTGCAGTGTATACATAATACGATGTACATATTATATATATTCGCTCGCGCGTACGTATGTATATGTATACGGTAGTTAATACATCCGAGCGCGATAATTACGTTCTTACTAATTTCCATTTCACATATATACAAATGCTGTACCTCGTACATATATCCTTGGCGAAGAGAGACGATGATATATTATACGCATGGAAAAGGAAAAAAAAACACCCATCCTACCGTATAATACATATATGTATATTAAACTAGCGTGTTTTCATCGGTCCCAGCCCACCAGCAGAGTCGATCCCAGCTGGCGCGCACGGTAGGTGTTGTACAACCAAAGAGGGGGCGATCGTGTGGCACTGACGGTGGGCGTGAGGATATCACCGCTCGGCAACACTTTATTTATATACGTGAATAGATGTTGTATGGCTCATCCTACATGTGCAGCGTGTAAAGTGACGCAAAGTGTTTTGAGAAGCAATTCGTCAACGGCCGGGACGACCCTCCTCCCGGCTTTTCGCACCCGCGCATCAATCAGGACGCGTCCGCAGGACCTGCACGCAGCAGCGGAGCTAAATCCTCTGGGATCGAGAGAGAGAGAGACGGGAGTAGAAGCGGAAAAGCCTTCGATCAGCAGAGGCTGCGACCATCCGTGGTTATATAGCTCATCGTCGGTCATTAGTTATGTCGTCACTTGTGCAATTAGAAGCTGCTCGCCAACTCGGCCGAATATACGCGATGTTTTCCCTCCTCTCTCTTCGACCGGTGTTTCCCGCAACTCGATGCCTCTGCGAGCAAGCTGCACCTACGCATCCTT